GAGGGCACAAACATGTTTGTATACCTCACAGCCAAAAAGTAGAAAAAAACAAATGTCTATCAATAAATGAGTGGATAAACAAATATGGTCTACATAACATAGAATACTGATATTATTCAGCCTTAAAAAAGGAGGGCTGGGGGAATTGGCTCAGTGGTTCTCCCGCCTGCCTTGCAAGCACGAGGGCCCCAGTTTGATCCCAGATACAAAGAAGAAAAAAGAGACAAGTCAGGCTCAGTAATACACTCCCATAGTACCAGCTGCTCAGGAGGCTGAGGACAGAGGACTACATCAGTCTGGAAGCTGGACGTCTGCCTAGACAACATAGCAAGACCCACCTTAAAAAAGAAAAAGGAAAAAAAACGAGGGGATTCCAACATATACAACATGTATGAACCCTGAAGATACTCAGAAGGACAAAGACTATGAAACCACTTATATGAGGTACCGAGAAGTCAAATTCACAGGGACCTAAGGTGGAATGGAGGTTACTGGGGAGGGGAGACGAAGAAAGAAAGAGTTGGACTTTTGTGTGCACTGAGTAAAGAGTACAAAGTTTGGGTTTGGGAGGATGAACAGCTCCGGAAATGGTCAGTGGTGATGGTTGCCCAACAATGAATGTCAGTGAACGCCACTTTACAATCATTGAGCCATGGTGGCACATTCCTGTAATCCCAGAACTGGGGAGGCCAAGGTAGGAGGAGCACAAATTCAAGGACAGTCTCAACAACATTATCAAGACCCTGTCTCAAAAAACAAAATAAGGCCAGGCATGGTGACGCATGCCTGCAATCCCAGCCCTTGGGAGGCTGAGGCAGGAGGATCGCTGTGAGTTCAAGACTAGCCTGAGCTACACAGTGAGTTCCAGGTCAGTCTCAGCTACATAGTGAGACCCTGTCTCAAAAACAAACAAACAAAATAAATAAAAAAATAAAAGGTATTTCCATGTTATGTGTACTTTGCTACAAATTTTTTAAAAAATTTTTAATTTAAGAAAATGTAAAAAAGCCAACTAATTCATCTTTGCACACTCATCAAATAATACACCTAGGAGGGAAGAAGAAAGGAAGAAAGGGACAAGAAAAAAACAGAAAATAGAAGAAAAAAACGGAAACAAAGCTTTTGTACACAGGGTGGGGAGGGACTGTGGGGGGAATGGGATAAAAAAATTTATTTATTTATTTTTTTTGGTACCGGGGATTGAATGCGGGTCGTTGCACTTACAAGGCAGGCCACCGAACTGCTGAGCTAAATCCCCCGCCCAAAATTTATTTTAAAAATTCAACTAAACTGGTTGCTAAGCACTACTTTGGACAAAGTTTTATATGATCAATCCTAAAGGAACTGATTATAATACTCAGTTATATGGCCATTTGCTTAGCAAATACAGGCCCTGAGTTTGATCCCCAGCACAATCTATCAATCACAAAGCTAGGAGTGGTGGCACACAGCTGTCCTAGTGCTCAAAGAGGCTGAGGCAGGATTGTTGCAAATTCAAGGCCAGCCTGAACTATGTAGTGAGAACTTGTCTCCAAAAACCAAAATAAATTTTAAAAATACAAATCTCAATATTTGCTATTTTGGAAAAAAGATTTTTGTGAAAAAATTATTACATATGAGTGTGTTGTTTTGAAATAAAATATTAGTAGTAGCACAGTTTTTAATAACTAAAACTTGAAAAAGCCCAATTGCCCATCAGCTGGAGACTGGATAAAGATGTGGTTTTTTAAAAAAATAAAATGGAGTACTATTCAGCCATAAAGAATTAGAGACATTTAGCCGGGCGTGGTGGCGCACGCCTGTAATCCCAGCACTCGGGAGGCTGAGGCAGGAGGATCTCTGTGAGTTCGAGACCAGCCTGGGCTACACAGTGAGTTCCAGGTCAGTCTCAACTACATAGTGAGACCCTGTCTCAAAAAACAAACAAAACAAAACAAACAAAAAAGAATTAGAGACATTTATAGCTAAATGGGTGCACATTGAGGCCACACTCCTAAGTGAAATAATAGGACACACATGTGTAAATACCTAATTTTTTCTCTGGTGTGGAAAACTGAAAGTGTAAATAAGGATCATAATGTATAATAGATGTGAAATAGGAAGAAAGATTCAAAGGGGAAGGGGAAGTGGGAGGGGTAGGGGAAGGAAAGAAGGGAAAGGAATAAATATGAGAAAAGGAAAAAATAAAAACAAAGTCTTTGTAAATAGGGATGGGTGGAGGGGTTGAAGGGAGGACGGGGGAAAAAAATAAGAACCAAGATATATGTAAAGGTACAAATTCCCAATGATGAATGTCATCATATTGTATACCTAAAATGTACCAACAAACTTAATAAAAAAGAATTTTGTATAGTACATATATCATATATATGTGTATGTGAGATATTATATATATACGTTTATATCCTGTTTTTCTTTGGTAGTACTGGAGACTGAACCCAGGGACTTGCACATGCTAGGCAAACTACATCCTGAGAACTTTTTAAAAAATGTTTTTGAAGCAAGATCTCACTAAACTGCCCAAGCTGACCTCAAACTTTGAATCCTGTTCTCAGTCTCTCTGGTAGCTAAGATTACAGGCATGCGCCACCACGCCTGGCTTCACTAGTAAATAATGATAGATGAAGCTCATATAAACAAAAGCTCTTTTGGGATCCTTAATGATTTAAGAGTACAAGAGCTTTGGGCTAGTGGATCAGTGGTAAAGCACATGCCTAGCATGTGCCAGGCCTTGGGTTCAATCTCCAACACCAAACAATAAAAAAAAGTACAAGCTAGGTGTGGTGGAACATGCTTGTGACCCAGCCACCCAGAAGGCTGACTCAGGAGGATCGCAAGCCAAGGCAAGTCTGGGCAACTCAGCGTAGTCCTATTTCTAAAAGAAATAAAATAGGCTGGAGTTAAAAAGGGCTGGAGATGTAGCTCAGCATTCTTTGTGTTCAATCTCCACTATTTCGGGGAGGGAGTACAAAAGGCTCTGAAAGCTAAAGTTTGAGAGCTGCTGCTAATCCAATGAGCATTACAAAAGTAGAACCAAGGATGCTCAATTCCAAAAGAAACTTCAGTCTTCACAGAAGAAAACATTGTCTTAGAGTCTATAAAATGAACATATATACATAGTATATACTGCACACAAACGCACGCACACACACATATATATATATTTGAGGTTTTTTTAAGTTGGGCAGGGTAGGAATCCAAGAAAATGGATTATTTCAATTTTCCCTAGAAAAATGTGAGTAGTTATGAAATTAAAAACATGAGTAACAGGGGCTGGAGATTTAGCTCAGTGGTTCCAATGCCTGCCTTGCAAGCGCAAGGATCCAAGATTGATCCCCGGTACCAAAAAAAAAAAAAAACATGAGTAACAGGCATGGTAGCATATGCTTGTAATTGCAGCACTGAGGAGGCTCAGGCAGGAGGATCAAAGGTTTGACGCCAGCCTGAGTTACACAGAAAGACCCTAAGGGAAAGGGAGGGAAAAGAAAGAAAAGCAAAGGAAAGGGGACAAGTCAGTCAGTCCAGGAGTAGGATTTAGCTGAGTGTAGGGCATAAGTCAATGGGGGCAGGGCTCAAGAAACAGATCAAATTGAAAAGGCTTTTACAATCTGTAATATTCAAGCATTGGCCAAATTCACATTGCTCCAAATGTACTGCAAAACAGACTCTAAGTAGCCCTTTTGTCTAATCTCCCTCTACCTTGTTGCCTTGCTGCCCACTCCTAGTTCCTCAGCAGTAAGTGATGTATTTCTAGAATATACTACAGTGCTTTCAGCTCTATGCTGCCCACACAAAAACAAAATAAATCCATAATAGGGGCCCCTGGGATTTGAGGGAACCGCCTCCAAAAGGCCTAGTGGTTGGTCTCTGAGTCAGTCAAGTATTTCTTGGCAGAAAGCCAAGCAAATGGAAAACAGACGTTGAAAGGAGCTAGTCTACAACTCTGACAATACCGTTCTAAGTGTTCTGTGTTTCACAAATCTGTAACACTCGGTTATGTCTCTGTCCTTTTGCTGACAATAAATCAACTTTATAATGCTACCATAAACAAAGGGACTTTTCAATAAAAGAAAAGTATCGCTTCTTTTTCTCTAGCAAAGATGTGTGCCATTTATCCACAGTAATATGCGACTATTATCCTGCATAAGTTGTGTGCAGAAATACCGGCTTTACCAAACATTGAAAAGTTGGATGAAACTACAACTACGCTAAATTTCTAGGTACGGTCTCTTAATTCCTTCTAGCATACATAGCTCCTCACCTTTGCTACTGAGGTAGATATTTACAGCTTGTAAGTGTTCTTAACAAGGAACTGTTGAGAATTACGTATCTGAAAGCAACTAGCTACAGCACCTAACACACACACCTCTAACGTGAGGCCTGTTTAAGAAGCAACATGTACTCCATTTTTATTTCATAAGCACGACGAGCTTACGATCCTAAAACATCACCACGACAGAATTCCTTCCGAGGCTTTAAGTCGTCAGATGATCACATTTCAGCCCTTCTAAATTAGCTCACGCTACTCCGAAGAGCCTCCCGGGTCCGTTTGGAGAACTGACACCACCAGTGGGAGGCAACCGAGAGAGCCAAGTCCATCAAGAGCAAAATGGTGACAGATTCTAAGGAAAACCTCCAATTTTCGCGAGTTCCCGCTTCCCTCACCAGACCCAAGCAGGAACTTCAATTTATCTTTTTCGGTCAAAACCTGGCGCAGGCTTTCAAACACTTTTTCGCTCGCCGCCACCGCAGCGAACCGCCCCGGGGAGAGCGCTGGTTCCCGGCTCCTCGGAGAGCTGAACCGAGGCGAGGAGCAGCTGCGGGGAGGGAGCCAGCCCTCCGATCCCCTCCACTTTGTGTGCGCGGACCTCCGCCCGCCACCGAGCAGCCTGCGCTTGCATCACTGTCCTCTGCGGGCGCGCTGCGAGCCGGGGCCCCCACGGCGCTCCCGCCTTAAATACCCCCGAGACGCGGCCAGCAAAACAAGCCGGGGAACTTACCCAGCTTCTTCCACATGGCGAGGTGACAAGCGAGGAA